AATTCATTGTCCAGCTGTGGACTATCACCTGTGTGGTAGTGATGATGAAATACAACATTATCATTATATTTAGGCCGCGTTTCCGATTTATTTAAGCTCAAGGCCAAGTATTTTGAAGATTTATTTGTTAAGTATATTTTAACAAAAGTAAAAGACAAACAGTTCGTTGATTATATTGTTAAGTAAATAAAGGTTGTGTACTTCATTATGTCAATACAATAAACTGGCTTTCGACCGCGACACTGCGTGGTATAGTTACTTAGGGCTGAGCTTCCAAGGTCTCATTTGTCTGTGCCTTGAATTCCATTAAAATCGATTCAGTGATTTATGCGTAAATGTGTAACAATCAGATTAAAAGATAGCAGAACGGAATATATTTGTCACCACTGCTACTCTTCCCGCGGGTGTCGTATACCCGACTAAGAGAATACACATTAGACAGAGACCGGGCAGCAGCGCTCTCTGATAAACCTGAACCTTTTATACTGCATTCTCCAACCTGCCTGCCAAGCTTCGAATGATGGCCAACCCATAAATGTCATGGCGCGTCGCGTTCCGCGCGCGCTTCAAAGAGTCATCAGACCACCACAGATGGGACCCAACAGGGCCGATGCCGATTCGGAGTCGCGGAGAACCTAACGGGTAACCGGGGCTCCGACTCGACGTGCAGGAAAAGGAACGGGGTGGTTTTTAGTCAGTAAGAGTCTGACACTCCCTCCCGCCTCACCCAGACGGCAGCAGTCATTCGATGATTTGTCCCCCCTTAAAAAAAACCCATAGATGTCGAGAAGGTCCATAAACCAGTGGACGACATGGGTTGTTCATAAAGACCAACATTATAAACGAGAGCTGATTTTAAGTCTGGGTAGATGGAAATATGATTTAAATTAGAAAGGTCTGCGACAACCGCTGTATGCAGGTCGCTTTCATCCTTCCAATGTGAAGTCATTGGGGGAGGACTGTGGGGGGCAGTGGACAGAGTTTTTATGCGATAAGCCGGTAAACGAGCTGACGGATCAGCTGATGGAATGCAATCGGCGTCGCCCATAGACAACTGAAACACCAGCCAGAGGAGTTATAAGTGCGTTACTGACCTTTTGAGAATTAGGAATTTAAGGATTGTTGGGGATTCAAGTATTTGGGAGATTGGGGAAGGGAGGGAATAATTGGGCCTCCGGTAACCTCACTCATACGACGAAACACAACGCAAGCGTTGCTTCACGTCGGTTTTCTGCTCGGCCGTGGTATCACTCCGGTCGAGCCGGCCCATTCGTGCCGAAGCATGGCATGACCTCCAAACTAAAGATGGATTGACTATACAATCATGATGATATAGACAATTTTGAGAATCCAACCATTTGTCAACAAGTCAGTTCAATAGCATAAACCTTATTGAATTTTAATAAGTATGTATTATATTTATTAATTTACTTTGCTAATACAAATAATTTACTAATTATTCCTCTCATACATTAAAATTGTTTAAAACTAGCTTTTTTCCGCGACTTTGTTCGCTCTATATGGTGATTCTCGATGTTTGAGTGCACATTTTTTTATGGAAACCATAATATCTTAGTGTTTCACAACACTTCTCACTTCCCGAGCGTACGGCGCGTTGCTTTCAAAGAGCCCTCAGACCACCACAGATGGGGCCCAACAGGGCTGATGCCGATACGGAGCCGCGGAAGACTTAACGGGTTGCTGGGGCTCCGGCTCGACGTGCAGGAGAAGGAACGGAGTGGGTTTAAGTCAGTAGAGTCTGGCACTCCCTCTTGCCTCACCCGGGCGAAAGAAATAATTGAATGATTTACCCCCTCAAAAAAAAAAAAATCACTACCCAAAGAATATATAGGTATATGGTAAGTATAAGCTTCCTAGGTCCAGTAATTTCGGCTGTGTGTTGTCTGTCACTCAGTATTCAAAAAGTTTATTTGTGGTACAGGCCGGAAAACGAGCAGACGGATCACCTGATGGTAAGCAATCGCCGCCGCTCATGGACACCCGCAAGTCTAGAGGACTATGTCGCAGCGTATGTTCGCAGCGCTGCGAACTAATTAGTGGTGTTTTGGGTACATAATCGATATACTAAATTATTCTTATCAGACATTTTATATGACAGTCATACACAGATATATACAATATAATAATTTTGTATATATATACAGTGAAACTTGGTTAAGTGGGACCTGGATAAGTGAGAAACCTCCATAACTGGAACTCATGCTGAGGTCCCAACACTTTGGCAGTGAAATACCTCTGTTAGTGAGACGAGGTAAACCTCTATATCTGGGATTTGGTCTTTCGATTTATCATCATAGTTACCTCTATAACTGAGACAGCGAGTAAATTTTCACCTCTATCTCTAATGGAACCCTCTGTAAGAGGACAGAAATTTATTTATACCTGTATATCTGAGAAACTGGGTAAGTGGAATACCTCTATGAGTAAAACGACATTGCAGGTCCCTTGATGTCTCACTTAACCAGGTTTCACTGTATAAGTAAAAATAACCATACTAAAGACTTATGCAAACAAATTTTAAATCAATTAGGTATATTATTTATTTTAATGAGTGACTAATTTCAAGGTCTCACATTTGAACCGCAGGTCAGCATTTTTTTTTTATTACAATTTTGGCTAATGATTGTATCAACATCGACTATTGTCTTTATACGATCATTCTGGAATTGGGATGATGACAGGGTATGAAAATTAAAAATATAATTAGTCCGTAAGTAAGGTAATGAAAAAGTATTAGACACGTATTTTTTATTGTATCGTATAATAAAACAATACTTAGATAAAACGAACCAAAGTTTAGAAGTGGGGGCTAAAACGTTTTTTCTACGTATAAAATGTTCATAGAAGTGACGTCACGCGACATTTCAAATCAATATATCGTCGAAAATATTATATAAATATAAAAAAATACGTGTCTAATGATTTCAAATAATCTACCAGACGGACATTAAAATAAAAATTAGGTATCTATATTATCACAAAAAATTTTCGAGTCATTATTATCATCAACAGCTTAGAAGTGGCCACTGCTGACCAAAGGCCTCTTCTCGCACGGAGGTTCGAGCATTAATCACCACACTTACTCAATGCGGGTTATCGATATCAAACTTATAATTAGAAGTTATAAGCCCAGGTTTCCTCACGATGTTTTCCTTCACCATTGGTCAGTGGTGTCTAGATAATCTTAGAAAGTACATATAACTCGGAAAAAGTCACATTGGTACTTGTCGTTGGTAGGTTTCGGACCCGCACTCTCATGAAGAAACGGGCGTCTTAAACCTCAGGGCCACCACGACATTTTTTATAAAGTTCCCAATTCCCGAGCGAAGCCGTGGGCAAAACGTAGTATACGTACAGCAAGCTATAAAATTTAACTTTATGTCCATAAAGATATAATAATAAACATACTATGTTCTCCTTAAGTGTATTGACAATCAACAAGATGGAGTTTCTTAGAAAATGACATAGCAGACATACATACACACATATAAACATACATACATTGGTACAGAGTAAATATAGTGATGATTTTGTTTTGTTTTAAGGTGGAAAATCATCGAATGACTGCTCCCGCCTGGGTGAGGGAGGGAGTGTCAGACTTTTACTGACTAAAAACCACCACGTTCCTTCTCCTGCACGTCGAGCCGGAGCCCCGGTAACCCGTTAGGTTCTCCGCGACAGTGAATGATAAACATATATATCAGTGGGTGACAGTCCACTACTGGACTATCAGCCTCCTCTACATAAGAGGGGTTTGTCATAATCTCCGCAGGCAGGCGGGTTGGAGATCGCAGTATAAAAGGTTCAGGTTTATCAGAGAGCGCTGCTGCCCGGTCTCTGTCAAATGTAGCCCCTTAGCCTTAATCGGGTATACAACACCCGCGGGAAGAGTACCGGTGGTGATAAATGTTTTCTGCTCTCGTCACCACACAGTGATATACATATCACGGTTTTTAATCTCGAAGGGGTAGGCAGAGGTACAGATAGTTATAGGTGCAACGTAGGTAATACTTATGTCCAGTTATCTTATAAGTCCCATGTAATATTAAATCGCATGTTAAATGCCCTAAACATCTATACAAATAAATAAAAATGAATGTCAGTTCGTCAGTCTCGCTAAAACTCGACAACGGCTGTACTGATTTGGCTAATTTTAGTATTGAAATGTTCCTGGAAGTCCAGGGAAGGTTTAAAATGTGAGAAAGAAAGAGTTAAGCAGTTCGAAGATTGCTGAGACAGGTAGTCATCACTACATAGTTTAAAACAAAGTCGCTATCCGCCGTCTGTCTGTCCCTATGTATGCTTAGATCTTTAAAACTACGCAACGGATTTTGATGCGGTTTTTTTCAATAGATAGAGTGATTCTTAAGGAAGGTTTATATGTATAATACATGCATATTGCATGCGAAGCCAGGGTGTATTTATTTCTGCTATCTATATACATTTATTTCTGATCTATTTGTCTGTATATGCTGTAGGAAGAAAGCCCATAAGGGTGTTGCAAGTGATACATAGACGACGAATGTTTCGTTATATTTTTTCCTATTAATCAATTGTTTAATAAATGTATTGTCAGTTTGATATCTGCACTGTATATATATAATCCTTTGTGTGATCCACAAATTGTTGTTCCGGGTCTGAGTGTCATGTGTAGGTATGTGAACTTGTATGTTTGTAAACGCACCCACGACACAGGAGGAAATCTGGAGTTACGCTTAGAAAATAGGAAAATTGCACGCAAAAAAATCAAGTTTTAATAATAATAGCAAAATATAAATATTGTGTCAATACCTATAGAATAAATAAATGTGTAAAAAATTGTTTCATTTATACAATTAAATTAACTGTATAGTATATTTTACAATGATCCTGAATCCTGGACCACTAGAAAATATTTCACAACAAGAAAATATATTTTTATATAATACCAAAATCTAAAAAAAGGCCTCAACCTAAAAAAAATAATTGTAAAAAACTCACCCCTATTTTTCCAGCACCGAAAAAAAAATACAGTCCACAACAAAAAAAATCCTCTCACTATTTTTTCCACCCGTAAAAAAAACACTACAAAAAATTTAATTTATTTTACTCCCGAGTTATTTATTACGCACACGTCTGAAGCCTTCGACGGCGCAAACCAAACTATATGCTGACAGGACATTTCACAATTCTACGTGAGATTCTGCGCTTGCGACGATGTCGTGCCCAATCGCGTGACGTCACAATCGGAAAGTCCGTTCGGCACACATCGGCAGTTTTCGACCTTTTAGGGCTCAACTTTGTTATAATTTTTGTGTACGATGTAACTGATTTTTTTAGTTTAAAGGAAACTTTCACTGTTTTTGCAAGTACTGCGTGTGTGTCAGGTTTGATTTCCGAGTTGTTTTTAAGTAGGATTTTCTCTTGTGCCGTGGGTGTGTTTATAAACGCATAATTTCATATGCAGCTCATGACTAGACCCGGAACAATATTAAGTGGATCACATCAGAAATCTTAGTGTTGCAGTGGTGCGAGAATCGAACCTTTTAATTATATTTGATGTGTCAACGTTTGACCACTATCTCGCCTGGTGGTGCACGATGATGCGGCCTACGATGGAGCACGTCGTCCCATAAGCAACCTATTCACTCGGGCCTTGAAGACACCCAGGTTATTATACCCTTCAGGAAATACAGACTCTGGCAAAGAATTCCACTCCTTAGCAGTACGCACAAGGAAGCTTGATGCGAGGTGCTTGTCAAGCGAACGTGTGGGTGGGATATATACCATGAATCGATGACTCTTCGCCGATTGTCATAACCTACGATAAGTTGCACAGCTGTTAATCTAGCCTCGGCGCGCGGCGCAAATTGTGCAGTACCGTGGAAAATATGTACACATACATACATAACATCACGCCTTTTATCCCCGAAAGGGTAGGCAGAGGTGCACATTTTGCCACTGTACAATGTAACACCCACTTTTCACTACTTATGTTATGAGTCCCATGTAATAGGGAGTGAGCCTATTACCATATACATTGGCACAATTCCAGACTCCGTGCTACTACTGAGAATTTTTTAAAAACCCAGTAAAATTTTGCCCGACCCGGGAATCGAACCCCAGACCCCTTGCCCGGCAGTCGCACTTGCGACCACTCGGCCAAAGAGGCAGTCAGGAAAGTATGTATTATATCATAATATCTTCTGATTTACTTCGTTGCGGGATCCAAGACAGTTGTTCATGTCCCTGGGACGTTGGACTTCAGTGTTCCGGTGTTTGCATGGTTGTATAACTAACTACACATTAGACAGAGACCGGGCAGCAGCGCTCTCTGATAAACCTGAACCTTTTATACTGCAATCTCCAACCCGCCTGCCTGCGGAGATTATGACAAATCCCTCTTATGTAGAGGAGACTTATAGTCCAGCAGTTGGCCGTCGCTGACTCTTGATGATGATGACTGTATCCTTCAAATCCTGGCTTCCAGGTCGCAGTAGCCAAGTAGGTGTGACAATCATATCCCATAAAAATACCTTTTTTACATATAAAGTTGAAAAACTGGTTTTTAACTTTTGCTTTACTATATTATTATGTAATATATAGAAACCAGTTAAGGGTAATTAATTCATAAACCATAAATAAATAAATAATAGATAATAGATTAGCAAGCTGAAGTGGCAATGGGCTAGTCAAATTCAATACTTTTTTCGTACTGTCAAAAACGACGAGATGGTGTATTGTGACGTCACGTTTTTTTAGCGTCAAACAGCATACTTACGTCTTTAAAAAAATGCTGGAAAAATATTAAAATGAAGTTGGTCATAAAATCAATTAATGAAAGTGTGATTATTTTTTAATATTCTATTATTAGAAAACTTTAAATCTGTCATAGAGTTCACCTTACTCTTTGATATTAGAAACTTATTGGTTTTAAACCACATTGTAAAAACAGTAATAAATTCTATGATAATACTACTATGTTGATCAAATGATATAATGATACATTATAATAAGTTACATAGTAAAAGACACAAATTCAATGTATGTCTACCAAGCAACAAAACAACATTATTAAATAAAAGTATATTATGTATGGCTCCACGCATATATAATCATTTACCAAATTCATTTCTGGGCATAAGTGATGAAAATATATTTAAAAACAATGTTAAAACACTGTTACTGAAGAAAGCATATTACTCTGTCACAGAATATTTACAGGATAAGCTTATATAATGTTACCTCATTTGTAAAATACTAGTTTATTGGTGCCTAATATGTCTTATTGTATCTTTCTTTTAAATTTGCATGCCTTTAAGGTAGAATATGGTTAATGGACACTATTTTGTATTTATAAGACCTTTTTTTTTTTGTACCCATGTTCGCAAATGAATAAATGATTTGATTTGATTTGATTTGATTTGATTATCAACACGTGCGACGGACAAACACGTGATATCCAGTTCGATTCATGGACTAAGAAAATAACTAATTACCATCATTTTACAGTATAAAATACCACACCCACAGTCCAAATCATTCGAACCTTTATGAATAATAATAAAAAAAATAAAATAATGTAAGCTAAATTCACTTTTACTGTAAAAAATCCATTCAGCAGTTTTTGAGTTCATCGCAAACAGATAGACGAGATTGCGGTGTTTATTTGTTTTATAATATTCTTTGAAATATAACGGAACAGCCCGAAGATGACAATATAAGACTAGAAGCGTAAATCCTGTTCATTGAAGGTACCTATTAAACAATATATAGTAGGGGGTGTTATCAGACAGGCTGCCTCGTTGGCCGACTGGTCGTAAGAGAGTGTGAAATGAGAAAAAAAAACAAAGAAAACAATGTATCTATTATTAATCTTTAGGTACAGGATATCATTCATTCATTCATACATACATAAAATCACGCCTTTTATCCCCGAAAGGGTAGACAGAGGTGCACATTACGGCACCTAATGCCATTGTAAAATGTAACATCCACTTTTCACTATATATGTTATGAGTCCCATGTAATGGGGGGTGAGTCTATTGTCATATACCGGGCTTAATCTTTACTTATAAATTGGAAAGTGAGTTTGTTTGTTTGTTTGTTCCGCTTTCACGCCGTAACTACTAAACCGATTGCTTTGAATTTTTGCAGACGTAAAGTTAGAAGTCTGGATTAAATAATAGGGTACTTTTTATCCCGGAAAAATTTATTATTCCCGAGGGAAAACAAAAGTATTGGTATAGATAGCGCTGTGTGTATTGGTATATGTCACATAGGCTACTTTTTATCCTTTAGTGACGCGAGCGAAACCGCGGGTAAAAGCTAGTATTGAATATAACTTTATGGATATTCTGAACTATTAATAAACATCATAAACTTGAGAAATGTTGCACAAACTCGTTAGTGTAATGGTGGGTCCTGGGTTCGATATCCTTTATACAAACCTGTTCCCGCGGGATTTTCCTCTATCAAGGCATAGAAGACAAAATATCAAGCAAAAAACCAGTATAAACTGACCGTCGAATGTACGAAAAATTCATACAAAGAGAGGTCACGATAAATTGGTTCTGTTCAGCTCCATGTATGAAGCTGTATTCACCAGTATAAATTGACCGTCGATTGTACAAGAAGTTCATACAAAGGGAGGTCACGATAAATTGGATCTGTTCAGCTCCATGTATGAAGCTGTATTCACCAGTATATATTGACCGTTGAATGTACGAGAAATTCATACAAAGAGAGGTCACGATAAATTGGATTTTTGTAATTTGATACGTAATTATAAAATTTTACCACATGTTGGCTTATTTCTATGTCTACTGACAAAATGAGCTGAAATTTTAATATACATTTTGTTGTACCACAACGGTGGCAAAAATAATGCTCATTTTATTCATTTTCATTCCACAACCCGAGGGAGGAAATTCCTCTGAAACCGAACTGTACGGGACCTTTTGGGCTCCTGAATCTCAATGAGCGAGCGTGAACTCCCTGTCGATGGCGAGCGGTGTGATGATTGAAAGTAGCCGTGGGCATCATATCGAACAAATCCGTGGAACATAAACCCATTATACAACTGGTAGAACACGCAGAAGGAGGCAAAATCTCTCCTTAGACTTTTTTTAAGGGGGAAAATCATCAAATGACTTCTCCCTCCTGGGTGAGGCGGGAGGGAGTGTCAGACTCTTACTGACTAAAACTACCCCATTCCAAATCGTGCCCTTCAAGCCGGAGCTCCGGCAACCCGTTAAGTCCGTCGCGGCTCCGTATCGGCATCAGCCCTATTGGGCCCCATCTGTGGTGGTCTGATGGCTCTCAGAACGCAACACGCCATACGCTCGAGGAGTCGCGGAGAACCTAACGGGTAACCGGGGCTCCGGCTAGATGTGCAGGAGAAGGAACGAGGTGGTTTTTAGTCAGTAAGAGTCTGACACTCGCTCTCGTCTCACCCAGGCGGGAGCAGTCATCCGATGATTAAAAAAATATATACCTATATACGCTCGGGGAGTGGGGAGTGTAGGAAAGTACTAAGAGATGGTTTCCCATAAATTCTGCACTCTAAAAACGAGGGTCACCATTTTTACGGACTTCAAAAAAAGGAGGAGGTACTACGTTCGGCTGAATGTCTTTTTTTCTTTTTTTTATGGCATAAGCCGGTAAACGAGCAGACGGATCACCTGATGGTAAGCAATCGGCGTCGCCCATGGACACCTGGAACACCAGAGGCGTTACAAGTGCGTCACCGGCTTTTTGGGGATTAGGAGTTTGAGGATCGTTGGGGATTCAGGGATTGGGGAGATTGGGGAAGGGGAAGGTAATTGGGCCTCCGGTAACCTCACTCACACGACGAAACACAACGCAAGCGTTGCTTCACGTCGGTTTTCTGTGAGGCCGTGGTATCACTCCGGTCGAGCCGGCCCATTCGTGCCGAAGCATGGCTCTCCCACACTTAAAACAACAAACTTAATTGTGCACTCCAATCCCTAGACACAGTTACTGTACCAAACGCATATATAAGTTTGTCGAATGTTAGGTTGCCCGCAGTGGACTTTACGCTGTAACTGTAGGCTAGAATTAGCTACTTTTTATATCGCCAACCAGCATTGAGTAAGCGTGGTGATTAAACTGTCAAACACCAAGCGGTCACCGGTGACC